ATATGTAATATATTATAATAATTGATCGAGTAATATATAATTGAGTAATATATATATATGTATATTGTATATATATATATATATATATATATATATATATATATATATATCTGTTTTACACTGCAATCGATTATATGCTTTATTAGATGTTTCATTTTATCCGCAGCTTTCGAGCAAGTCGAAAATTTAAATTAATTTCCTATTTATAATTATACCTAATTAAATTGAGAAAATACTAGATTTTTTGCTAACTTCTAAAAAATAGTTTAAACTAAACACTTATGTGTAATCGTTTTTGGGAAAAAAATTATTTTAATCTTTTTTTTAATAACTTTTCCAAAAGTGTTTCATCTTATCTGTCTTTCTTCTATTTCATTTATGTACATTTTTTAATTTAAGAATTTTAATGTTAATAAGAGTCACAGTGCAAGGAATATTTGGCGTGTATTATATATTCTCATGTTTTTTATCTTTTATGTAACATCATTCACACTCGTAAAAAATGATAATTACCAAATGATATATGTCATTTTTTACATATGTATTATATTCTTATATTCTTGTCTTTATACTATTTTATCAATTTCTGAGTCTGAGCTATCATGCCAATTTTCATTTGTATCGTTATCATCAGAATAGTTTGTCCTTATCGTAATGAAATTCTGTAATACTAACATATATACTCCATTTGTCTTTTGCTAACTTCTATTTATAACTTTGGCTCTTATCTCCATCATAATGGTCAAAATTGAAAAGTGCCTTATTTTCTCCAATTTCCTTTTTCTTGTTCAATGCCTTTTTACACGTTCACTCATTGTTTACACAATTTTAAGTTTATTTTAGCAATATAAATAAATATGTTTTAAATTTATTCACGATGGATATTATAATACATGTACATTATAAATTATTGAATTAATATTACTGATACTATGTCTTAGGAAAAATCAGCCCACATTTAGTACAGTAATCTACTTCAACTACTAAATAAAACTATCAAGTTCTCGTCTTATGTCACGCGATAATTTTACAATTAATAAGAATACATTTGTACTAGACAATAATTGAACAAGTACGCGAACCGCATACATCTAGCAGAGCATTCTTAACACTCCCATAAGGTTATCTTTATATTTTGCTCCCTTATAATAATATATTTTTTTTAATCTCACGAAATGTTAGTGTCGATAAATATCTCTTTACAAGGTGATACCGCAAAATTTGTTACAACGATTATCAAAGTGTTAATGAAACTTAGAGAAAAATATTTATGCTCTAAAGGAAAGATTTTACGACGCATACATGACAGCAAACGTCAAAGTGTTAATCCCTTGATGAGATAAAAGACGCTTTTCACTTCATCAGCAAACGATCTTTGAAATGATACAACTTCCGCATTTAGGATGCACCGGCTATGTTCGGCAAACTAATACGGCGTTTACATGAAGATTATGGTGCTATGTTTTACATTACTGAAAATGGTTTTTCGGAAGCCGCTTTAGAAGACAAGGCTAAGGTGGCGTATTTGCGGGGACATATTGCAGAGGTGTTAAAAGCCGTACAAAATGGCGTCAATATTCAAGGTTACCTGTTATGGTCCTTATTGGATAATTTCGAGCTGCCATTTGGTTTTCAGTAAGATTATTGGATCAGTCAAGTTTAATTTTTATATGGAAATATAGAATCTACTTTGTTATAATAAGAGCAACTGTGATGTTTGCGTTTTTCCAGGCCAAAATATGGTATTTTCCACGTCGACTTCAAGAATCCGAATCTTACCAGGACTCCAAGATTGTCATCCAAACTTATAACTAATATTTACACAACGCGACGCTTGGATTAAACAGCTTGATATTATTCAAATCACAATGAATGTTAAATATAATCGGTAATATTGTATATAATGATAAGTAATAATTGATGATGTTTGAATATAATTTAAGTGTACGAAAAAATAAAGAAAATCAAGAATATCAATTGAATTTGAAATATCAATTATAACTTTCGAATGTGTGCAACATCGATTATGTCTTTCTAAAACCAGAAAAAGAAGGAAACTCCAATTTAAAACGTTCAATAATTAATTTGTTATTTTGTTTACGTCATGAAAATGTTGTTTTACTGTATTATGATGTTAAGAAGCTCACATTTACTTATGAGATACGAATGATAGCAAATAAAGGATTCGTATTATCCTAATAGAGGTTTAATGTAGTTTTTGGGCAGTTAGTGAACAGTTATGTTAGATTTTGTCTAGAAACTGAAGAGTAAAATTATTTGGAATTTCAGTCAAAAAGATATAACGCTTTTCCCGCAGTTATTGTTCACGCAAAATACGCAAAATCTCGACCCACTTACTGAGTAAAAACAATATAATAAATAGGCAAAAACTACTCAATTGATTCAATAATTATATCTATTGCTCATAAAATGAATAAATTTATACCAGTAGTATTTAATTTTTTGTGCATGTTTCCTAATTGAAAAATTTTAATGCTAATAAGAATCATAGGAAATTTTCGACGTCTAATACATTTTTATATTTCCTATATTTTATATGATATCTTTCGGAACTTAAATGATATATGCTTTTTTAACCATTCTTGTAATTGTACTATTTCATCAAGTCTGAGTATTTAGTAAAACTATCATAGCAGTTTTTCATATTCCTAGTTTCTCTCGTATGGAAAAAGGATCAATACATATTGCAGAATAAACTGCTTCAACCACTAAATAAAAACTCTATCAAATACTTGTTCAGTTTCTACGTAGAATATTTACAACTAATGAGTATGCATTAATACTAGACAATAATTGAGCATATATTTACGAGAACCGCATATATTTCTGAGTTATTAATTATGAAAGAAAGGAAACTATCTATCCATATCTGTCCATATCCCATTTTAAAATCGCATTTAAATACTAGATTCATCGTATATATTCCCTATAAATAAGATAAAATATTTATATTTTGTATGATCTCTTCCAAATCACTTGCGCGCGGCACAAAGATATATTCGTGTTCGTCCAATTTTGCTTCTTTGGGCGAAATTTCCGATTAGCATACAGCATGCGAATTTCACGGTATATTCTGACCGCGGATTATGATCGCGGAATGTCCATAATGGCAATCATATTAATCCAGTGTTTCAGATTATCTGTGCAGTCATTACGCGCTACTAGCGCACGCAAAAGTATGTAACATGCATAATAAAAATTTCCACAATAAGATATTTTGTGAGTCAAGTCGGTTCATTATTTGACAGTTCAATCAGTTCATTTCTTATATGAAAATGCGCGAGACCTCTTGTCTAAGAACATTCATATATTTATGGAGACTTTGCTATTTTTCACTAGATAACGCAACGTTCGATGAATATTAAGTACACCGTGTCAAAAATGTTACAAGTAGAATATCACTATAACATAGTTGCACTCGCTAGATGATAACAGTAACATCATTTTTCTTGTCGGACGTACGTATATCGCGATGGAATATATAAAGTTTACGGCGATTTTAATACTGGGAATGGTCCCATACACGCTTCGTTTGAGCTCAAAGAATATCGAACAACGTCTTTCAAAGGATTTTTTGTTCGGCGTTTCGACCTCTGCGCCTCAGTACGAGGATGTATGAAATGCAAACGGTAAGATATACAATGAAGATAAGAGGAAGATATGGAATTTTCTAAGCAAAAATAAATCTCTTTCATTTCCTATCAAAGACATATTTTTATATTTTTCAATTATATTATTGACACACACGAAATACAAGGTGTGATAAAAAAAAGACCGGGATTCTGTCGTCGAGCGCGTAAAACTTCACGGATATAGTTTAAGATTTTACAGATAGCGCATCCTTCTCCAGAAATTTCGTTATGATTGGTCCAGTAGTTCCGAAGTTATTGTACTGGAAACGAGTGTGTGTTTGTACCGTTCTGCGATTTTCACGCGCGACCAAAAGGAAAACCGTTTAGCGATCTGTGAAGAACTGCTCCATGTTTCGTCCCTAGTAATAACATTTTTTTTTTAATTTTCATCCGTATTCGCACGCTGAAGCAGTTCTTCACATATCGCTAAACGGTTCTCCTTTTGGTCGCGCGTGAGAATCGCAGAACGGTACAAACACACACTCGTTTCCAGTACAATAACTACTGGACTGATCATAACAAAATTTCTGGAGAAGGATGCGCTATCTATCTGTAAAATCTTAAACTACATCTGTGAAGTTTTACGCGCTCGACGACAGAATTCCAGTCTTTTTTTTTATCACATCTTGTATATTCCTCATGTTTCCATAAAAATGCATGGTTGGGAAAGTTACTTTTAACTTTTTCGTATATATCTGCGGAACATATATGTTTCCCACTTATAAAAAAAATTATAATTTTAAAATAGTTTCCTATGAATTTCTACCTTGACTCGATTTAAAGAGAAAGATAAAGCTTACATGTTAAAATTAGTATACTTTTAAATTTAATATTTTTGATAATATATGGTTATTTAAACTTTTCAAACAATTCAAGTTTTAGCTAACATATTGGCAACGTCTTCTCAGATGTTTTTCTGTCTCGTCCAACGAATTTATAGAATTTATCGCATTTTGTTGGCAAGTAAGACTGTTGCCTTAAAGTTGCCTAAAAATTATATAACTGCATAAGTATATCGACAACCATCAATATACGGAATAGCAAATTTTGACCTATAGTAAAAAGATATTCAAAAGTTCTTTGTAGTCATTATTTGAAGTCTGTTATCTTAAATTTAAATTTTTATACTCCATTTGTAATTAGTATTCAGAAAAAATTTAAATTCAAAATCATATTTTATATATCAATATTTAAGCTTTTCTCTGCCGCCATTTTAAGTTCGCCATTTCAAATTTAAATTTTGATAGCAAATTTGGACTCAGCGTTCCCAAGAACTTCTATAATCATCTCAATGTGAAATATATCTTTACTAGGAAAATCGTAGATATGAAAATGTTAAAAGTAAGTTTCTTTTCAAGAAGAAACAACTCAAATTTTTATGTTACTTTCTTCGTCGAATTTTGAAGATTATCTTTTTAAAATTACTTTTTGCTACTGTTCTCAACATGTAAATATATTCTACTTATCTCAAGTAACAGTAAAGCGATTATATTCGAAACATGCAATTGCATTATCGTTGCTAATAAAAAATAAAATAAGAAATAATGCTATTATTCAGTTGTTACTGAAAAAATGTAACTTGACGCCTGACGGCTTTACAATTCAGTAAATATCAGTTATAACCATAATATTATATTAATATTATAATTTCTCATTCAGCAATAAATAACGAACTGTTGTAATTTTATTGACTTTTTTTATCAAGCTGTGAAGACTTTTTCTTTATAATTCGCCGCTGCTCATTCCGTATAGATATATTCTGTATATGCAAAATAAAAGATAAAAGTAATGATTATATTCGTTTCTATCCAACAAATGTAACTGCATTATTGTTAACGTTACGAATAAAAAAAAAATAACATCATTACTAAGTTGTTACTGAAAAAACGGTGACGGAGAAATAAAAATAATACATTATTTCATATTCTGTAAAAATATATAAGATTCTCAAACTTATAATCCAAAAATAAATCGCAGGCAGAGGACTGTCCGTATGGGATTACCTGACTCATGCAGATTCGAAATTGATAGAGGACAGTGGCGTAGGCAAGGGGGGCTGAGAGGGCTAGCCATCCCGAAATTAATTTTCTGGGTTACGCTAAGTGTGAAAAAAATTTTTTCGAATGACCTTTTTTTTGCTTTAAAAATAAAAAGTACAGCCCCTTCGAAACTTTTTTCTAGCTACGTCACTGATAAAGGTCGAGAGTAAGATGGACGTAGCGAATGATTTTGAACGACAATGAATGACAAAAAGCGTGTAAGCAGCGATTAAATTGAACCTATAATTAAATTTGGTAAATTTAACTGCTAAGTTAATTAATCCTTTGTGTCATAAATTTTTCTATCAGATCGATTTGTTTAAAACTATATACTCAGAAGTTTTTTGGATTGCTGATTACGAATCAGGAGTTAGAATTTTAAAATTTAAAATGATTTAAAATCCAATATGGCGAATTAATAATTAAAATATTTTTAATCTTTATGAAAATTATTACATGACATTTCTTTAGGTTGTTAAATCTAAATCTGAGGCCAAAGTTTCGAATTTCAAAAATAATGAAACTATTCTTTCTTGTTCTCATATATTGGTTCCATCATCTTGGATTTTAAAAAATTTGAAAATTCTAGCCGCAAATTAGTATTCAATAGCCCAAAATATACCCAGAATACCATTAAGAGATATTCAAACTATCCATTTGGATTTAGAATAAAAAAAATGATGTTTCTATATTTTTCAAAGATTATTAATTTATATTTATGATAAAAAACAACGTAGCGAAAAATCTGACAAAATTTTGAAAAGTATTTTAGAATGTCCTTAATAAGTGCTAAAGTTGTTTCAATATTGATAATAATTTAATAAAAACTAATTTTTTTCATAAAAAACACCAACTATTTGTTTATTTATAATAATTATGTAAATACAAACTCACGATATTGCTTATTTATTTTATAACTATTTATTGGATTCTAGCAAATAAAATTTTTAGTTTTTATGAATCAAATTTGATTCTATGACCCAGAATTTTTAATTCTTATTAAATTTGCTTCTAAGAACCAGCAATTTTATTTATAAACCAAATTTTATATTCTAAAAGTCAAAAATTCTATTTATGAATTAAATTTGTTTTTAAGATCTGTATTGATATATCACCTGGAACTTCTTTTATGTGAGGTATTCAGATTTTTCTTGAGAGTTATACCAAAGTTCCCCAATTGTATTATAATATATATGATATTTTTATATTTGTAAAAATATTTTATCTAACTCTGAATTTAAATCTAAGTATCTTATTTGAGACGAGATTCAAGTAATAACTATTAATGTG